ATGCTCTTCAGCACTCGGCAAGAGTAGAATCGAGCAAAACATTCGTTCTTAATCGAGTGATATCGAATAAGAGAGTTTATCCATTAAAAACGAAACATCGACTCTGTTTACTTTTACATTATCCAAATATGTCGTGAAATATAAAAATATAGAACTTAAATAGCGGAATAAATTGTTTTCGAAGTCGAGTGACTTCACTAGCCCTGAGTGAATCGACTGGCCCAAGATCAACAATAGTGATATCTTCCTGGAAGGGAAAAATTTAAAACTTTTTAGTCTATACCAGAGGGCTGCAATGAGTATGATTGAGTAGGCTTGATCACACACAGTGGAAATACAATCAAACTCAATCAGTCGGTCAGATGCAACGAGTTCATTCGAGTTACTCAAGCCAAACGAAAAAGTTGTGATCAAACATGTATTGATCGAAGTTTTGTGATCGCAATCAAACAACTCACATGAGTTATTTGTTTACGAACTTATGTTGAATTGTTCATAACGGGTCGATCATCTATGATGAGTCTGAGTGATTTGATTAAAACACAAATGTTCGAATTTGAGCGAAATCATGATTGTAATTTTACTAAGGATTTCATAACTAAAAGATGTCCCCATTAAAGAAATTGGTACAAATTATATTTAATAAGCATACAATTTTTCATTTTATTTGGGTTTTTGGGTATGCTAGACTTGAGTAACTTATTTGAAAAAAAAAAAAAAATAAATTTTTTAATAAAGAAACACATCATTGGTATTTAGAAAACTAAAAATGTTTAAATATTTTTTTTATTTTACAATATTGGTCAAGATTTTTCACAAACTTTGACCTTTTCGTTTACCTACACCTGTGTAGTTTCTACTTGCAACAATTTCGGTCGCACTATGACAATATTCTTCCATTTCAAATATTAAAAAAGCCAAAATAAACTGTCCCAACTTGATTAAATGGTTGAATAAACAATGACGCTGAGCGAACTCGATTCAAAGAAGACAATCACGGTTGTGATTGCTCATTTACATTCATGTGTTCGATCAACACATCAAACCGTCTCGAACGCTCATGTTTGATTGTGAGTGAAGTGATTCAAACTGAGCGTTCGATTCGATCAGAAGCGAAAACGGCCATTTCATTCGGATCAAACTGAACGACTGCATCAACAAAAATCATGTAAGAAACCGAGTATGCTTGAATTTTTGCATACTTGTTGCAGCCCTCTGGTCTATACCTTTATTTGTGTATGGTACTACTCTCTACTCGATTTCGAGAGAGCCTTTCGGAAGCATATGCTTCCAATGCTTTTGGCGCCTTTCAGACAAAAATAACATAAGTTAAACATAAATAGATCGGAGCCTCTCGGTTACAACCAATTTTGAAAGGAGCAATGTAAGCAAACTAAGGTTGAACGAAAAATGTGTACCCCTAATGTACATACAAACATTCATACAACATATGAATAAAAGAATGTATTTATTGTGGCAGTAGTTTCTTTGGCATCTTCGTGTAGTCAATGCAATATCTCTTAACCATAATGTAAAACATAGACATGAACGCTCAAGAATGGAATACACTACTCATGTTTTTGATAAACTCAGTGGAATTCGCACGTCCTTGAGATGAATCAATGTTGCGTTATTTTTACTTCTTGACCATGAGGGTTCTTGGTGGCCTTTGATGACACATGTATAATAATGGTTCAGATTAGATGTATGTCTACAATCCATTCCGTATGTCTACAAATGGGAGCAGTTCCATTGTATTTACCATCACTTCCTTTCACTCCTAGTAACTTTCCGTATCAGGATTTATTTGACATATATGTTATGAAATTGATATTTTAAATTTACTAGGTTTACCATTTTCGGTGAACTTTAAACGTAGTGTACATAAGGCTCGCAATGTGCAAAATTAGTATGTTTGGATTTAAAAAAAAAAAAGAGATCAATGCTAAATGCGGTACTGAATCTGAACTTCACTAAAACAAATTTGTATTCGTATTTTCTCAAAACGGATTTCACAGAATAACACAACATTGAAAGTTTTTCACCCAATTCCTATTTGAATATTCAGCAGTGTTCTGTTGCTAATTTTTTCCGTTTTATTTTTTTCTTTTTTTTTACTTTGAATTTTGTATATGATTTGTCGTTTTAGTTTTGTCTTGTTATTGTTGTTTTGTTATTATGTTGATGATGTTTATGTTTTTGTACCAACAATCGACAACAAAATACAACGATTATTTACCAAAAATGGTCAACATGACCGTCTAAGGTGCGGTGAGGAAGACCAACCAACGAACCAACTATCCACCAACAACAGCAGCAAGGAAACGAATGACGGCAGTTCACCAAAATAGGGAGGGAAAAAATTCGCCAAATCTTCAATGCATTGCAATAAAATCACTGAAGGATTTCTGTTTTCAAAGATTTCAGATTCCAAACTGTTTTTGGTTAGAGCATTATGTGTTCGTTTTACTGTTGTTGTTGTTGTTGCTGCTGCTGCTTCTCTACGAAAGTACGAATTTATTTGCGAATAAATTATGTTGTTCATTGTTGGGGATAGAGATTTGCTATGGAGATAGATGATATAATTCTTCCAGACAGGGGAAATTTTTTAAATAACCTAATATTGAACTGAGTTTCGTTTTTTGGAAGTCAGGCTTAATTGCAATGTGAGAGTGTACATATCAGAATTACGACATCATAGCCAACTTCCAAAAAGTTTCTTTTTATACCCTCCACCTACATATTATGGATGTTTGTAACTCATCGAAATAATAATTTTAAACCAACCAGAGTATATAAAAACTGCAACCAACTTCAGAATGCTGTCATTTCCAAGCCACTCGTCCGACAGCTGTTAAAATTTTTCCAGTTCATTGTTTGAGCTCGGGGTAAAACCATTCAAATACCAAAAAGTGCAAGAACTTGCACCACAACAGAAAGAAAATAGACTCAAAAGAGCTAAAGAGTTGCTTTGCTTGGCCAAAGGTGGTGAACTGCCGAATTTGGTCTTCTCCGATGAGAAAACATTCGATGTCCAGCAGTTTGTAAACAAACAAAATTATCGTGTTTACTTGCCAAAGGGGTCAGCTGAGAATGTCCACCTTCGGTTGGCCATCAGAACTCAAGCGCGGCCATGGTGATGGTGTGGACAGACAGTGGCATCAGAATAAATGTCGAATATTATCGCGAAAATATTCTGGAGGGTGTATTAAAGCCTTGGGCACGCAAACATTTTGGCCGCAGGACATTCCAGCACCATCGCACTCAGCACGCGCCACCCAAGAATGGTTACAAAATGAGGTTTCTCGATTCATTTCCAGCGCACAATGGCCACCAAAATCTCCGGATACCAATCCATTGCTCTATTGTGTCTGGAATATTTTGGAAAGCAAGGTTGGCACTAAAATATAGCAAAGTGTCGATCACCTCAAGCAAACGCTTAGCTGGAATTGGCCAAAATACCGCAAAGCAACATTCGGGCAGCGTGTGACGGTTTCGTGCCAAAGGTGACCAATTCGAACAAATCTAAATTTATTCTAAAATTTGATGCTATTTCCGACATTTGTTGCTTTCATTCAAAACCAAAACATTTAAAAGAAAAATGTAAAAATTATGGCTTTGTTGCACTTTTTTTTATCTCACCTTGTATTTCCTGTGTATAGGTCCACGGGTTCTATAGCCCCTATATAACGGTACATTCCCATAAACGGCATTTTGATCATTTTGGCCTAAAGTATTGGAATAGCATTGGGTAATCACAGCTCATAACGTGTTTGTACCTACTGCTAATTAATAACGAAATTACTAAAAACTCTGCATTGGGATTTCTAAGCAGGAAGCAGGATTTCTCTTATCTTGAGAGAATTGTACACATCTACATTTCAACTATGAAAATTGAAATCTTTTTGCCAATGCTAAAATCTCCAATTTTTTTTTTTTCAAGCTAACATCAAAATCGAAAAATTCACTTGGTTTGAAATTCCTATTTCCTAATCCATTCCAAACAAAAAAAAAATTCGAAAAAAAGACAATCATCCCAGAAAATGGACAAGACGAATAACTTATTTACTTTGCAACTAACGAAAAGGAGAAGAAGAAGAAGACGAAGTATGACAAAACTTTTCTATAGATCAGTACTGAGTGAGTTCACTGCTGGGCTGGACGGCACTGGAACCCAACAGACATTTGAAATTCAAACAGTTTTAAAGAAAAATTCCATTGTCTACTGCTTTGTTTTGAGTTTTTTTTTTTTTTTTTTTTTTTTTTTTTTTTTTGGCCAGTGATTGTTGTTTGGACTTGGCTGGCCATCTCCATCTCCAGCTCCAACTATTCGACTTCAATTGAAGATAAAAGATTTCGTATAAATTTGTAAAGGTAATTGTTTTATGATTCAACTTGAGAAGGATTTATTTATTTTTTGTTCGCCTTCCTTGGGACAAGTCACCAACAAAAGATGACGACAGCATGGAATGAGTGAAGCAAATGATCAATGCTTTTGGTTGGCCATATTTGGTTGGGAGCAGCAGCAGCAGCAACAGCAGCAGGTTGTTTGCCTTCATCGACAGTGCAGTGTAGGCAGGTATTTGTGATGTTTGTGAAGACAAGACATTCGGACAGTCGGTCGGGTGGAGTTATTTTAAGTTTATCCTAGTAAGGCCTGGTCATGTTTCAAACACACAGACACGCACATGTGTGGCTGCTGCAGTGATGTGACCATCAACAAGCTGTCTGTCGCCCTCTCCATGAATCGTTGCAGATCCTTTGTTTCCTGCATAATGGCCTCGCTTGATATCATCACGATGATGACGATGATACTGATGTTTATGATTATTATTATGGTTATGGCTTTTATATAGAATTCTCAAAACATTTTATTGCTGTGGACTTTTATTGACTTTGTTTCCCCGCTCATCTACATAATAAAATAATATTTATGCCGAACTGCAAGTTTCCACAGCTTCTGATTTGCAATTTAACTTCTTTTTGGTTTTATTTTACAGGCTTGTGCTCCCCGCTACGTTTTCCACACAATAACGCCCAAGAAGAATCTGCGTTGGGATCCCATTGGTACATGCTTTACAACCAGGAACTTTACCTATTTCAATGAAGTCTCACCCTGTCGTACAAGTAAGTAGAGCGAACTTTTCCGATTCACCCTAATGAAGTTTTGTTTTTTAAATAATGAATAAATTTAAATAATTGTAAAATCAAAAAAAAAAAAAAAACAAGCATACTGATGATGGTCTGTCACCCCATGAGGAACGAAGTGAGTACGCATGTGTGTTCGATCTTATTAAAATTGAGGCTTCGTTGCGTATCGTATCACCGACGAAAATGTATCGGATTTCATGTGAAACAAATACTTTGTGCCGCTGTGAATCCTTAAAAAACACTAAAATTGAATTTCTCAAATCGTAAAATTCGAAGTGATTTCCAATGTATCCAACCGAACGGCTGACTGAATGATGTGCAGACAACCATCAGAGCGGCTCATAGGAAGCGTCGTCGTATGTTAATGGGCATGCCCCTTGTCTTCTGCCATAAATGTTGATGTTGTGTGGAAACAGCAGTCAATTTCCTTTGCGGGCCTCGTTTTTACAGCGGCACGGCACCGGTGAATAGTAGCATCCGCGAGAAAAAGAAAATTAAAAATAGCTTCCTAAAAATAGCGGATCATTTTTCAGTGAGTTTTCAATTTTGTTTACGAAAGGGGGAAGAAACATTAAACGACCCAGACAACTACTGTTCGTTCGCCGGTTCGGCTGTTGCGAGAGTTCACAAAGGAAAATGCCATCTGTTGGACACTTGAAAATAATAAAATTCAAAGAAGAAAAATTGGAATTGAGTGAAGATATAAACATTGCTACCCCCATGGCAAAGAATTGAAATAAAAAACATGAAATCGAATAGAATTGCATGGAAAATTATAAGAATCATACGATTTCACACGTGAATGGAAAGTGTTTTAAGTAGGTGAGAGGTCACTTTGATATTGTAAGATCTTTTTGACCCCCGATTCCAATCAAGTAAACCAATATAAAAGATTCAGGAATCAAAATTAAGAAAAAAAAATTGAGATTATTAATAACAAGTAAAAAAGCCTCGGCCGGGCCGATCTTTGAATACCCTCCACCATTTGGAACGATTTTGGCAAATGTCAAAAAAATAAAATTCGTTAAAATCTTAAAAATACCGAATGTAGCCGTTATATTAGGGTCTATACGACGACGTGGACCTGCATAGGCATATTTTGTCATAAGCCATTAGAATATTCAAATGCGAAACTTGAAAAAATCCGTGAATAATGTAGCTAAAATTATGAAAATACCGAATATATGGAGGTACCGTTATATGGGGGCTATACGAAGACGTGGGCCTGCACAGACAATTTTCTGTCTTAGGCTGTACTATCCACTACGAACTTCATATACCAAATGCGAAACATTTACGATGAAAAATGTCGATTAAAATACCGAAAGAAGGGAGGTACCATTATATGGGGACTATACCAAAATGTGGATTTACATGTAATACCAAAAGTCCTGCAGACATTGTCATAAACCGTTAAAATATTCAAATTCGAAACTTAAATAAAAAAATCGGTGTATAATGTAGCTAATATCATCAAAATACCGAATATCGGGAGGTACCATTTTATGGGGGCTATACGAAGACGTGGATCTGCACAGACAATGTTCTGTCATAGGCTGTAATATCCACTACAAACTTCAAATACCAAATTTGAAACAATTCCGGCGAATAATGTCGCTAAAATCATCAAAACATGGAATATCGAGAGGTATCGTTATATGGGGCCTATACCAAAACGTGGACCTACGTGGCCAATTTTCAATATCAAAAATCCTGCAGACATTCTTCATTCATACTTCATTTCGTTCGAAAGTTGTTACAAACGGAATGACAAGCTTAATATACCCTTCATACTATGGTGGAGGGTATAAAAAAACGGTGGGAAATATTGACTTACCCCATATGAAATTGTTGTTGTTCCAACTAGGATGATTTCATCTAACTTTGTTGCTAGTTAAAAACAAAATTGGACTGCCGTATATACCCGACTCGTATCGATGTAGACAAGGAGACGGAGTCAAATTTTGTTTTTCCCATATTTTACTGAAAAACTTTTCGATAAGGTTCCCATTTGGATAAAGTTTACTCTCACGCTGCCATTAAAAGACAAAATGGATATTAGGTGGACCCTACATTTTTCTCGTTGGGACGCTTAATCGTGTCCGCACGGAATGTATATCCTTATTGCTACAAATCCCGTATCCATTCAACCCTCCCTTGAATCATTGTGTACACAGCATAACAAATCATCTTTTCCCCCATGACACTATTAATATATCTGCCGATCACATCTGGTCCACAGAATCCCCCCGTCACCAAAAAACCAAACACATTCTAATAAATCCCATTGTGCGACATTAGCCAACAATTAAACGTCGGTAAAAAATCGATTCGATTCACACTAGGTTGTCCATCAAAACGTTGTCGCTGCACTGCGACTCGAACCCCAAAACGATTAATCGCTTTTTCTGTAAATTAAAGTCGACGACGATGGCGAAGAAGCCCTCCAAGCATTCCGACATTGCTCAAAGCAATAAATACCAAGTTAACGCATTAAATATTTCAGAAATTACAAGTGCTCATGTGACATGAACCTTTTTTGCTACCATACCCCCCTCCCCCCAACCCCTAAGTTCCATGCTGAAAGAAATCAGCAAACAATTGTTTGTACAAACATACATACATACACACTAACATACAATGTCTCTTCCGAACAATCCAATGGTCAAACCATTGCTTTCAGTCTGTCCAGCCATACAGCTATCCCAAACAATCAACCATCTATCCGTCCATCCATCCATCAGGTACTTTTTCAGGTTGAGAGAATAAATAAAAAAAGAAAAGAAAAACGCAATGTTACAACTAATTGAAATTCTATACGGGGGCGATTTTATTATGAGAATTACCAACTACTCAAATGCTTGCCAAGCAGACAAGAGACAACGTCACTCAGCCACAACAGTTCACAAGGTAAGCAGGAGCCATTCAGTGCGCTTGCCTGCCTGGACACCGCTCTGTGTTTTGGTTTTAGCTTTCTTCCGCCAAACTCAAGCAAGAACTTCACATCCAGGAACGGTGGGACGGCAAGTCTTGACATTCCCGTCGCTTGGCTTGTCCTTTGTATTGCTGTGTAATTCCAAAAGAGCTGGCTTTTTTCTGCGACAATGCCACAATGGAGGCAAGCAGTAGCTAGTAGCTCACAAGTCAACCTTCAGCGTTCGGTTGTTGTGGTGTGACACATTTGCGGCGGGCTTTCCTTTGCCATAGTAATCGCAATCTCAATCTCGCCTGCCTCCGGCCAAACCATTCCATCCATGTTGAATGTTCAAATTGAAACACTTCGGAGACAAATTGTTATCGTTTAATTTGATCTGGCGCACGATCGCTCCGCAGTGTTGCGGCCGGCGGTACGTTGTGTTCGCCTGTGTTTTTGCACACACTTTGCTGAGAAGGGCTTTGAAAGTTCGACATCTTCGTCTTTGCCATGGATGGCAATTGTATTTTATTCGAAGCCTTTTTTGTCCATGTGCAGAATGGAACATGTGCTTGCTGCACTCTGCATGGTAGGCCGGGGATGTGTCTTTGGTTTGGTCATGACATCTGTAACACCTCAGGGTATTTGCCATAAAAATGGCAATGGAGGTACAAATCCTTTTTGGGACTTTCGCCTTGCTCGGAATTCTAGGTGATCTTGTGTTTCTGGAGGTCTGGATAAATTTAAAAAATCCATTTCTGAAAAGTACAAAAGTACGTTTGAAGGGCACTCCAAATTCGTTCCCACCGAAATGTTTTCTTCACTCCGTTGTCTTCCTATGGCTTCTAAACCTAAGCATGTTTGTGTGTACGTTTGTGTGTGAGTACATATTTGTTCGGTATTCCTTTAAATGTTTTAATTCCGCAGAGAACAATTATCCTTTTATGGTTTTGTGCAAAAAAAAGAAATCGGCAGCAGCAGCAACGCAAAAGGAATGATTAACAAATTACTTTTCAATCAGGAATGCAGAATTGTTTTTGTTTTCGTTCAGGAAGTGACCATAAACAGAGATTCAAATCACACACACACACAGGACAGCAGTTCAAGAGGCAAACATTGACGGCAACAGCGAGGAGACAATGGCAGGGAATACTTCTTCGACGATGGCCAGACATTCCATGGAAATAGTTATTAAAGTTTACATTGTTTTGCTGATGGCACGCATACAAATGCAAATTCCGTCAAGTCCCTAGAAATCAAAGTTTCAAGAGAAATATTTCCGATATTATTGTAGAAAGTATGGAACAGAGATCCAATTGTAGCTGGATCCGATGCAAAGCCTCATTTGAAAAGAACCTTTGTAACTAGGGTAGCATACACACAAAAAGTAATATCCACTAAAGGTTTAAAGATGAATTTGGAAATCTTGAGGCCAATGATCCATTTTACAATAATCCACTTTTTGTTTTATCAGTGGTGAAATTGAATCCATCCAATCTTCTGACTTTACCCCACTACTCACTGGGCCACGGTTGCCAAAATATAGGACTGATTAAAACCTTACATCTACGTCAACAACTCATGGGTTTGAATTAATTTCCCCGTTAGTTAGTTATTTCCCCGTTTGCTGAACTTGTTCCGGTGTAGCTATTGCTCGAATGAATGTTTTTTTAATATAATTCTTATTGAAATCATATCATGCCCTATATACAATGCAAATTTATTGAAAATAGATTCAGGGTTGGATATAGTTTCCAAATTTCGACTACTCTAAAGCCATAATAGGCATCCGAATAAGGTTCATAGTTTGTACGATCTACTTCACATAAATCCCCAATCCCAATTATTAGTTACGGGAGCCCTAATAAGTAGGAGATCATATATTCGGCCCCGCCCGACTTTTGACATTTCCTTACTGTTTTTTTTTTTTTTAATAAACGAAGTTCGGACGGACCGAACTTTGAATACCCTCCACCATGTGGAACGAATTTGGAAATTTTCAAAAAAAAAATTCTGTAATAGGTTGAAATATCCATTACGAACACCAAATTTGAAACATTTGCGGTGAATAATGTCGCTTAAATCACCAAAATACCGAAAATAGGGAGATACCATTATATGGGACTATACCAAAACGTGGACTTACATGACCCATTCTCAATACCAAAAGTCCTGCTGACATAATATACATTTGAGAAAAATTTTATAAACGTACTTCTTTTTTTTCGGAAGCTAGGGTGATTTCCACAAACAGACTGATATCGCTAAATCGGCATAGAATTTCATGCTTATGTAGGTTCTAAAATGTATATTTCCATGTGTTACAAACGGAATGATAAACTTTATATACCCCCCATACTATGGTGGAGGGTATAAAAATGTATATGACATCAAAATGGTTATCCAACAGAAATCAAAGTTATTCTACAAATATTATTATACCATTCAATGGATTATTTTTAATGCCTTGATATAATTTTTATTTCTCTTTTTTCAGATAATTGGGGCTATCATCGTCAGGGCTATTGTCAAGCTGGTTTTAGTGCTGCAGCCACAGCCGTAAGTATTTCAGTCAACACGACTTTTTCCCATTTAATTTCTAAGAAATTTTTACAAAATAAAGCAAATCAAAACAACCACACTCACGCATACAAATCAATAGCCGAAAGAAAGAAAGACAGACAACTTTGACACGTTTCTTCGGCAGAACTCGAAAGAAACAAACAATAACAGATCTTTTTAACGTGTTCAGAATACGAAGAAAAAAACAGTTTGCACGAGACCATAGAATACCACAGCCATTAACACCTCATCGATGTGGTTGGTTTCATGCTATTGATTTTGTCATTGTATTCAAATGTGGTTGGCCAAAAAAAAAAAAAAAATTGCAAATCATGAAATCAAAAAATATCTCACCTCCTGTTTTTATTTAAACACACATGTGTATGTACATACATAAATATATGAGTTTCTCTTCTTTTCAATTTTTTTTTCAGAGTGGCGATCGCTTGTACATCGGTGCTCCTGGAAGTTGGTATTGGCAAGGTAAGCTATTTGCATTTCCATTTTAAGTATATTTTCCTATATCCTAAATCCTATAGTATGATATATATATTTAAACTTAAATATGTTTATTTGGGGTTTTGTTGATAATATTTTGAGAAATAAATATTATTTTTAAAATTCCTTTTTATATCCCATTAATTTGTTTAATAACTTTGCCCCAAAACAAATATATATATTTTTTATATTACATATAATGGTAGTTTTTATATAGAATTTGTTGTATTTATGTCGTTATATATGTACCCGTAATTATTAGATCCTCTAGTACACCTTTTTTTAAACAAAAGAACAAAAAGTTATTTCTGGCAATCAATTAAAAAAAAATTAAAATTACAATAAAAAGATGGTGATTGCAATGATTCTCTGTAAAATTGTTGCAAACAATGAGAGTGCCATGACATGAAATTGCCACAAATCAACTTGCTATTATTGTTGTTGTTTTCTTCCTTTCCCCCCTGACTTCTTCACTCATTCTAATTTCTTTTTCCTTAATAAGATATCAAAAAATCCAATCTAAAAATCCCAGAATTAGTCTTCAATCTTTTTTTTTTGTCCAAAAAGAAAAAATCTGTGCATGCCTTGTATCTGTATATTTATATGTAACTAGAGAACAAAACAGAACAAAAACTTTCGATTGTAGTTTTGTAAACGAATGTTGTACTCCTGTGCGTAAATATTGTTTTTAATCGTATGAATATTCGATATACTGACCCCAACCTCTCTCCTATACTCTTGTAATGCGTAGTTGAAATCTGCATGAATTCAAAACAAAAAAATATATATATATTTTTAAAAGAGAAGCCTAATAACTTAGATATTGGATTAAAATATTAAGCAATTAAGGTTTTAGTGAGATATATCTGGTTTAAAATATTATTTAATTTTTTGGTTTTTCGTTGGAAAATTCGAGTAAAAAGGAAAGGATGGAAAAGCTGCATCACAGAACTTAAAAACAGAAGAGTTAAAATCCAATTCAAATCCCTGATGATGACTATCGAAGATAGTCGAAATATCGGACAAATAAATTAATATATAAAAAAACAAATTCGTCTGTTTTTTTTTTTTAATTCTGACCTCGAGCCAAACGAAAAACCAGAAGAAAATATATTGATCAAAGGTCAACAATAACTATACAAAAAAAAAAATATATTATTTAATAATAAGAGTAATTTACTATTTATGTTTATCTCAACAAGTTTAGAATTTAAATTTAAATTGCTTAATTTTTTATACTATCGTATAACATAAGCAATTATTTAATAGTATAATATTAAATATTACTTCTTTCTCCAATAGCAACCAAAAAACGCTAAAAAACCTAATTAGCATATCTTTGTATTATGTTAATGATTAAGCAGGGGATTTGTCATAAAAATATTATTTTGACAGTTTTTTTTGGTTTAAAAGCCATTAGTGATTAACGTGCGGTGAATATTTAAAATGTGACGTACCACCGAGCCATGTCAAGTTTTCGTTGTTCTTTAAATAATTAGTAATTGTTATCTGAAGTTATACAACTAGGCATACCTTAGATATTAGCTGAGAACTACGATAAAATGATGTGACAGCAATAGGAATTCATAGGGTTATTAAATTAGGTAATAAACGAATTGGGGTTAATTTTTAAATTTACATCTTTCAAACTTTAGATTTTAGGTGAAGCTTTTCATAAGTATAGTTAAGAAAAAAATATTTTGCTTATACAGGGTGGAATAAAAAAACTGCAACAAAATCAAACACCATAATTTTATTTTTTTTAGTTTTATTGAATGAAAGCAAAAAATGTCGGAAATAGCATCAAATTTTAGAATAAGTTTAGATTTGTTCGAATTGGTCACCTTTGGCACGAATTATGGCCTTCAAACCTTCACACGCTGCCCGATACCAATCCGTTGGCCTGGAGTATTTTGGAAAGCAAAGTTGGAACTAAAAAATACCAAAGTGTCGATCATCTCAATCAAGCGCTTCGCTGGTCCATTCCCGGCGAAGCGCTTGATTGAGATGATCGACACTTTGGTATTTTTTAGTTCCAACTTTGCTTTCCAAAATACTCCAGGCCAACGGATTGGTATCCGGAGATTTTGGTGGCCATTGTGCGCTGGAAATGAAGCGAGGAACCTCATTTTGTAACCATTATTGGGTGGCGTGTGCTGAGTGCGATGGTTCTGAGTCCTGCGGCCAAAATGTTTGCGTGCCCAAGGATTTAATACACCCTCCAGAATATTGTCGCGATAATATGATTGATGCCACGGTCGATTAATACGAGCGGAGAGCCACCATCGGCTGTTATGACGGCCCACACCATCAATATGGCCGCGCTTGAGTTCTGGTGGACAACCGAAGGTGCACATTTTCAGCTGACCTCTTTGGCAAATAAACGCGATCATTTTGTTTGTTTAAAAACTGCTGGACAACGAATGTTTTCTCATCGGAGAAAACTAAATTCGGCAGTTCACCACTTTCGGCCAAGCGAAGGAACTCTTTAGCTCTTTTGAGTATATTTTCTTTCTGTTGTGGTGTAAGTTCTTGCACTTTTTGGCTTTACCCCGAGCTAATTTCTCAATATTTGCCGAATGGAATATTACGATATGTTCAGCTCACGAGCCATTTTTCGGCCACTGCAACGCGGGTTTCGATCAAGTCGCTTCATTACTCTTCGAACCATTTCTGCTGATTTTGCTGTTTTTTGCTTCCTTCCACTTCCTTGACGTCGGGCTACGTTACCAGTATCAGTATTACGGTATCGAGCGATGGTACGATACACAAAATATTTATTCACATTTAAATGCTGGAGTGCTCTAACGATGTGGTTTTCCAGCCAAATATAAAGAAATCACACCATCACGCTTGAATTCCATCATGAATAACTTTTTTCTGGAGAATTTCTCACCAAAATGCTTCTGTACGCTTGTAACCGGAATAACTTTAACAGCTGTCTCACGAGTGGTTAGAAATGACAGCAGTCTGAAGTTGGTTGCAGTTTTTTCATCTCACTCTGTAATTTGGAAAACAAGGTTGGCACCTTGGTTGCTGCCGATCACCTCAAGCAAGCGCAAAATACCGCAGAGCAACATTCGGGCAGCGTGTGACGGTTTCATTGGCCGTTTGAAGGCCATAATTCGTGCCAAAGGTGACCAATTCGAGCAAATCTAAACTTATTCTAAAATTTGATGCTATTTCCGACATTTTTTTGTTTTCATTCAAAAAAATGTAAAAATTATGTTCTTTGACATTGTTGCAGACACATATTCAGGATTCTTCTGATAAATATTAGGTCATATTAAGCTATTCGTCATAACATGTTAATTAAAATGTATTAATCATACGTTCAAATAGGTTCGTAAATTGACACTAAGCCGTGTAGAACAATGTCAACGTTCTCTTAGTTAAAGGCAAGTGTTCTTTATAGCTAATTTAGGTATTTAGTATTTAGCTAAACTAATTTCCAAAAAAAATGTACATTATGTCTAAAAGATGCAACGATCAAATACTTGACAACACTTTGTAACCCTCAATATACATATATTTTTAAAGTGAAAGTGTATAAAGTAAATATAAATATAAAATAAGAAAACATTCAACATTACACTTGAGAAATATGATGGAATTATATTTATATCTTATTAATAATATAACTAGTTAGAAGTGTATTTAATTTAGTCGAAATTAATTTTAATTGTAAGAAAAATATTTTAGTATTAAGGATAATGTGTAAATTGCATAATTATGATAAATGTTACTGCTTGTATTGTATCGCCTCCCAAACTATTTCAATTTGTTAATTTCAATATGTTTTTTTTTTCTTTTTTGTTTATATTCTCTTTTGTTCGTGCACCTACTCTCCCACTACAACATTAAAAATCAATAATTCTCTCTCTCTCTCTAAATGTCTACTTTTAAAAATTCTAAAATGTTGTGACGCTCGTTGTTTTATGTTAATGTTCACCTATCAACAAAAAATAAAACAATTTGAACACCCTGTAATTGTTAATGGTTATGAATATCGATTCGAATAATGATTATGAAAATATCCCACAATTATCACAAATATGTTAAACTAAAGGACAAACATATTCCGTGTCACCAAACGCCACCTTTCCATATAAGCCGCCTTTTTATCAGCCTTTCGGCACTGGAGGTAAATTCAACAAATCAACAAAAACAACAACATTAACGCCCTTAAAAATCTCATTTTATTGCATAAAAACGCATTAAGATAAATAAAATAAATTAAAAAAAAAAACTTAATTAAATTTCTACATCACCCAAACATACATACACACAAATTGGAAAAAGCTTTACCATTTTGTAAAAAAAATCGATTAAACGATTAAATCTGGAAACCGGAAACCGCTAAAGGAACCATGCTTTTAGACTGCTAAGAATTACCACATAGCTTTTAAGTTAATCGTTAATTGTAGTTGCAGTTAATGCTTCTCTAAAACTGTTTTACCTTCACTTGGTGTACATTTATTTATCCATACATACCCACATACATTGCCTTTTTAGTTGCAATTAGACAAAAAAAAAGAAATTAAAAGATTGCACCATGACGAGTTATGGCTGTTTAAAATAAAAAAATGCACGCAAATATTGTATAGAACCATCGAATTTAGTTATACGCCTTCATATATACATATTTATGTCATTCTCATCATATGCTTCGTTTTAATTTTATATATTCTTAATAACAAAATATTGGTATTTCAAAAAGACAAAAAAAAAATTTAATGTAAAAAAATTTATGGACTGTTTCTAGTTGTCGATTGCAAAGTTATTTACCAAAAAAAAAAATGTCGCTATCTTCCCTGCAACAACAGGGATAGTTTCTCAATGTAAACTATGTATAAGGTTTCTGTGTCTAGAAAAATAAATAAAAAATATATTAGAAATCGAGAGCCCCATTTGCAGTTCATAACATTCTATTAAAATCGGATCGTTCCATTGCAATTTAAATTTTCTATTTTAAATTCGAAATAGTCCGGTTATTACATCTTTCCGATTGATAACAAAATGATGTTGTCGGACAAATAAATCGTGTTTCTCTGAAAAATGTATTTCATTTAAAGGAAAAGTGTAATAATGAAAACCCTATAATAGGTGTGTCTGGTTACCCTAAAATTTGTAACAATTGTTGCAAATTGTCTGCAAAAATCTGTTAACACAAAAGATCTCTCAAAAGAGAGCGATTTGAGAGAACAATTTGGACAGTTCTTTCACTGAGAGTTTGCAAATTCTTGCTGGACAAACTTCTTTTGCAATCACTTCCAACTCTTCTTCTTCTCATTCCGGTGATGTATATTTGGGCAAGAAATATTAAAATACATTTATTTTGAACTGTTTTTTTGTAATCAGCTGATTGCTTGTCAGTTTTTGTAGGAATACCATCTGTTTACTTTCCACAGTTTCCTTGCAAAAGAGAATACAACTACCTCACTCTCTCAGAAAGAAGTTGCTGGACAATTCCTGCAGGAAAAGTAAGCAGGCATACCTAATATGGACATTGTTCATTACTTTTTCTAACAAAACCGGACTATAACAAAATGATATATTTGATAAAGGAAAGTAAACATTTACTCCGACGGCCTCCGAACTTGTTTTTCTGAATTGCATATAAAATGTTTCCAATAACAAATAATTTTCTTTTTATTTATTTATTTATTTTTTAAATTTTCAAATTTTTTATTTGAATTTGGATTAAAAAAAATTAATAGCGTTTTCTTTTATAATCTTCTTGTTCTTGGCAACAAATTTTATTTTCTAAATTTTTTTAAATTATTAATTAATTGTTATGAAGTTGCTCCCACAATCGTTGGGTCATTACGAAACATGTTTCCTTTTTCAAACATTAGTTAACAAAAAAAAAAAAACATGTTAGAATTTTTTCAACCGCAAATGCGATCAACATCTGGCATCGTAATTCCACTTAATTTCAAGAAAATATTCAATTACCATTTGGCATAATAATTATTTATACATATATTTAAGATTCTTTCTTTATATTATTTTGTATTATAAATCTGTGCACCCATACATACATACAGATATCATTTTTAGAGGTCATTATCGTACAAATCATTGATTCGTAGTTGTATTTTGCATAAATATTTGGCAATCCATTGTCCATTTCATTGTTTCATCTTCGTCCTGGTTATGATTCCATTCGTATTCTATGTTCGCATGTAGCTTAAAGTCTCCAACGCCCACCCATATGTTCCCATTTGTCAGCCAGTTTAGTGTTGGGCATGTCTGCATGTTGATGGCACGAAAATAAGGTGTTGGTCTTTGCTTTGGATACATATTTACATATGTCCGAATGCATGTCGGTCGTTGTGCAAAAAAAAGGACCGTTATTGCTTTGGTTTTTTTAAACATAATTGTTATTAGTGATTCACGTACTAACTCCCAGTTACATTCCTCTCACATCTCCCAATTACATGTCTCATCAATGGCTCTTCTCAATTCGTTTTATCCGATTTAGGTCAAACATATTCAAATGATGTTACCCGTCCTGAAAACCAAGTCTACTCCACCGCTGAGAGCAGTTCCACCGATGATGATTCCTATTTGGGCTATTCCATGGTGTCGGGTCATTTCAACGGCGACGGCATTGAAGATGTGGCCATTGGCATGCCTCGTGGTGCTGGTCTCCTGGGCAAAATTGTGGTCAATCAATGGAACATGGTTAATATTTTCAACATAACGGGACGTCAGATTGGAGAATACTTCGGCTATGCCTTGGCCACATCCGATGTGGATGGTGATGGTATGGATGATTTGATCATTGGTGCTCCCATGTATAGCGAGCAAGGCAACACCGAGGGCAAATACGATGTGGGTCGTGTCTATGTGCTTTTACAGAAACGTGGTGTAAGTCTGCCCTTCTTAGATCCATTCGAAATCCATTACAAAATTTGCTTCTATCCTTTCAGGCTGATCGCTGGTCCGTGGAACACATCCGTGATGGCTACAATAGCAAGGGTCGTTTCGGCCTGGCTCTCACCACATTGGGTGATATCAATCGTGACGGTTATGGTGATTTCGCCGTGGGTGCTCCTTATGACGGACCCTTCGGACGTGGTGCTATCTACATTTTCCACGGATCCGTTAATGGTCCCCTGCAGAAACCGTCTCAAGTCATCAGAGCCGAGGATATTGTTGGCGTTCAACCGCCCACCACCTTCGGCTTCTCATTGTCCGGCGGCCTTGACATGGATGACAATACATATCCCGATTTGGCTGTGGGAGCCTATAACAGTGCTCAAGTCTTTATCTTCAAATCTCGTCCCGTTGCAGCAGTTGAGTCCACCACCTATTTCTCTAGTGCCTCCAAACTAATTAACCTCGAAGAGAAGAACTGTGTGTCCAAGCGCGATGGCAGACAAGTGCCGTGCACCAGTCTTACTACATGTTGGAGCTACACCGGTGACTATTTGCCACCAAGATTGAACTTTACGGTATCCTGGGTTTTGGATGCCAAGAAACCAAAGAGTCCTCGCATGTTCTTCATGTCCAATTTGAACAATATGCGCTCGATGCTCATCACCTTGGCTTTTGGCAAGCAATTCTGTCACACCGAGGAGGTGTTCATCGACAACGTCCAAGACAAGTTGACTCCTTTGGAGGTGGAATCGCGTTACAATTTGACGAGCAATATGGCACCTATGCCACTGGTAAGACGTCGCCGTGAAGCACTGGAACCAGTCATCGATCAAAACCGTGAAATTGTCCAGAGAGATGCCATAAACATTCAGAAGAATTGTGGTCCAGATAACATTTGTGTACCAGATCTTAAATTGGAAATTAAGTAAGTAACCACATTTCGTCTCCACCAGAAGCATAGGTACTAAAGACTTCTCTCTCTTTTTTAGGACCGTTGATAAGTATTTGTCTGGTTCACCCGATCCACTGACCATTGATGTCTTCATTTCGAACAACAATGAAGATGCCTTCGAAGCTGCCTTCTATTTGGTGATGCCCAAAGACTTGGACTACGTGAAATTGGAGAAGATTGCCGATACCAACGATGCAACCATCACCTGTACCGCTCCTTCGCAGGACAATAATTATACTCTGAAATGTGATATTGGTAATCCCTTGCCGGCTCAGAAGGTGGCCAACTTCAGAGTTTACATGATGCCCTCGGTCAAGAGAGGTATGTCCCCCAGCTATGAATTCTACATGGAGGCCAATTCCACAAATCCGGAAACCGATGGCTCGACATTGGACAACATTATTACGAAGAGCATCAGTATCTGGGTGGAGACTGACCTGGCCATTGATGGCACATCGGTGCCCGACTTTGAGTTGTACAAAGCATCCGACTACAAGTCGGTGGAGAACGCCACCAAAGAAGAAGATTTGGGTCCTCAAGTAGTCCACCTGTACAACATATTCAATAATGGACCCTCGGACATTGTTGAGGCTGTGGTGCTCATCCACTACCCCTACCAGACCATTTCCGGAGACACATTGATGTACATGACCAACCAGCCTGAAACCTCCGAAAACATTGTGTGCGATCCCCATGTGGCGGTGAATCCCCTGAACTTGGAATTGGATCAAAACCTCGTGCGCAAATCGTATTTGGCAGAGCGCGGTGCTATTGTGAAATCCTCATGGACTCACATTGAAAAATCGTATGGAAATGCCGGAGCTGTCAACGCAGTTACCATTGGTCAGGGCAAGCAATTGAGTGCTGAGGAAACTAAACGCTTGGAATTGGAAGACGCCCAAGCGGAGTTGGGTGACGGATCTCGTATTCACATTCAGCGCGCCAACGAGGCAGCCAATGCTGCCAATGCTGGTGGATCTATGCAAGGCGGTAGATGGCATTGGGATTGGAATACCACCACCACAACAGGCGGTGATGGCCGCACAGTTACGGTGACAACGAGAAATGGAACGATGACAGATTATGATGGTCACCGACAACCTTACGTCGCTGGCGTGGGTATGCATGGAGGTCAACATCAACAAACCTCCGCCAACTATCAACAGCACGGTTCTGCTGGTGGTAATGTCAATGTGAATGTCAATCACCACCAAAGTCAGGATGCTGGACCACACAATGTCCGACAGTATGTTCAAATGGCCAGTCCTACACAGAGCGAAACACGTTATCAACAAAGTTCTCAATATTCGTCGGGACAACCTCAAAGGACCACGTACACTTACTCGTCGTCGAGTGGCTCCTATCCAGGACAACAACAGCAGCAGCAGCAACAACAACGTCATCACCAACAACAATACAGTGTGGGCAGTGGTGCTGCTTACAATGAATTCGGCAACAATGGCGCTGGAGATTTTGGTAAAATGGCCGCTGGAGGTCAAGGCTTCCGCACCAACACCATGGATCTTGGTACTCTAGGTCGCAGTAATGTGGACGAGGAAATCCGCAGCCATGGAAGTCCCAGTCATTCAAATAGTTATTCATACCACTATTCCTCCGGAACACCACAACAGCAGCAAACACACGCCAGCTACCAACAGTCGCCACACTACTCTTCGAGTAATGTCAATTACGACAACAAGCCCTACTACGGCACCGACTACTACGATGACCTCAGCGACCCGGCAATTCAGATGCCACATAACCCCTCCGCCGTGCATCACAGAACACGACGTGAAGAACCCCAAGAAATTGGCATCAGTTCACCATGCAAAGCCACAAAGTGTGAGACCCTGCGCTGTGTGGCCCGCAATCTGCGCAAGGATGAAGGCGCCTGGGTAGCCATCCGCACACGTATGGTGGCCAAGACCATGGAGAAAATAGCCGGCAGTGTACCCTTGAATATATCGACAATGGCTGTGTCACACGTCACCGAATTGCCCAACATTGGAACACCCACCGACGACATAATCAGGACGCATGAGATCTTTTACAAGGCCATACCAGAACCCACTCCCGTACCCGATGTGGTACCACTGTGGGTTGTTGTGCTGGCCGCCTGTGCTGGTGCTCTGATTCTTTTGCTGCTCATTTTCCTGCTGTACAAGGTAAGAATTGAAGGAATAGAGGCATGGCTCGGAATCACAGATTGGAGGGACATAAGTTTCTTCCATCATCCACTTTTATAAGAATGTATCTAAGATTTGCTGTTTTTTCTTTGTATTTCTTTGCTACAGGTCGGATTCTTCAAGCGTAATCGGCCCGCCGATCACACAATGGAACGACAGCCTCTCAGGAATGGCTACCATGGCGATGAGCATCTGTAAGGGAAGTTTGAAGCAACTGTCAGTCTGTCTGCCTGCCTACATTAACAAAGAACTCCAAGAGTTTTGTGTGTCCAATTAGATGTTGCTTGTCCCAAATAACCTTTGAAGCAACTTTGTTATGCAAATCCAACTACGAAACAAAACAAAAACAAAGCGAAACGACTTGAACTTTTCAAAAAAGTTCAAGCCATAGTGTTATACCGAAGTTGCTCCAGCGCGGACCATACGGATTTCGCCAATCTCTTGAACATATCTCTATTTCCCACTATTAACCAAAAATGCCAAAATTGGCATTATTTATAATTTTTCTTATTCAACTAACGGCTCCTAGTCACCAAAAATCAACACGAATAGCTACAACTAAAATGCAAAACGATTTTTATACTTGAATTTAAAAACAAAAAAAAAAAAAAAACAAAGATTTGCCATAATCAAGAAACGAACGTCTAGCTTTGATTAGTTAAAGTCGAACATTCGCCAGACCCCACCACCACCACCACCTGTGGTATTAGTTTTTGTAACAAATTAAGTTAAACACAACCGTCGGAGATGAATCTATCGAGGAACAGTGAGTGAGTCGATTACACCACTGAAGGAGGAATTTTTGTCGTTTTCTAAAAACAAAACAGTGCTAAAACATTATTTTTAATTATTAAAACAACATTATTAACTAATAAAACTAATTTTAACAAAAACAAAAACATAAAAAGAAAGAACCAACGACCTAGAATCTATTGTGCAAATACTTTTGGTTGCAAGTGTAAGGGTAGTAATAAATATATGATGCAAGGCATATCTGATAGGTCGGTCTTCTCGCGCAAACGGAACGAATTCGTTTCCTCGACAAGGCGACGACCTATCATTGATAGGCTTTCGTATGTTGTTATACTGTTTTATTATTTTTTTTTTAATTTTATTTTTAACATCTACTCGTAATGTAAGCTTAAATTATTTAATAAAATTAAACTGTTCACTTTTTTAAAATCAAGAATTTACCAATAAATTGTACATAAGTTGTAAGCAAACCGAAAAATAGTTTTTACTTTTGCTGTGTTCACATTTCTACTGCTGATGACTTTGCATGTCGTCCTTCTTTGATAGTTTTATTTTATTTTGTGTTAAGTATTTTAATTTTTTATTATTATTATTTTTTTATTTATTAACTGTACTTATTAACAGCTTACAAAAGGAAGAATTGCTTTTAACCTATTACTAAGTTGTACAATAAAAAGAAAATCTCAATAAAAAGGAAAAAAACACACACACACAAATCCTAAACAAATAAATGATGTTCGGTTTTTTTCAAAGGGGACCATTTTTTATTTTATTTTATTTATAAGCTGCTTCCAAGGAAAGTAATTCCCGTTCATTGTTTCCCAGTGGATTCTTATTTTTTGCCAAAAATAATTACATCCCATAAAGAAAGGCCAAAAGTCAGACGGTGCTGAATTTATGATTTCTGTATTTCTGAGATGTATTTGCTTTTTTCCCTGAATATCGTAGAAAACAAATTAAACAAATCGGATGAGCAATACATATATGGGAGCTATAACTGAGCCGACATCCACCAAATTTGAAATTTGGCTAAATGTGGTCGTCTATTTCAAATTCCATCCAAGGGGGACAAATATTACACATTTGGTGCACAGTAAAAGGCAAATCGCATGAAGATACATATGGAAGGTATATGTAAATTTTGCCCTGCATAAATCGACTCAGTATGTGATTCTATGCAGATCATCAAATTGAGCTATGGGTTTTTCTCACTTCCTTCTCTATGTTACCAACAAATGCACAAAGACATAATACCCTAACCACAGTGTGGTGTAGGGTATAAAAAGTACAAATATGTATCAAATGGTTGAAGATTTTATTAAAGGACAAATATGAGCAGTGAGCAAGAACTGATACCAATTTCTCTTAATTTTTTTTTTGGAAGTTAATAAATTGATTTTTATGATGGTTACATATACAGGGTGAGATGATGCAACCAACTTCAGACTGCTGTCATTTAAAAAATTTGATTACTTAAGCATTTTAGATAAAAGTAAAGAAAAACAAGTAAAAAACAGCTAAGTTTCGCCAGACCGAACTTTTTATACCCTCTACTATTCGTAAGGAACTTGAAAATTAAAAAAAAATCCGTCAACAATCACCGCTCAAATGAAAAACTTTAAATGTGGGCTATATTAAGACGTGGTGCTGGATAAGTATTTTTTTTTTTTTTTTTGTCATAGGCTGTAGTAATGATTCTGAACTTTAAATGCAAATTCGAAACAATTTCGGTGAATAATGTCCATGTACTGTACCCATCACGAAATTTGATGCAATTCCGGTGAATAATGTCGCGAAAATCTTGGAAATACCGAATATGTCGGGGTTGCGTTATATGGGTGCTATACTAAAACGTAAACCAATATAGCCCATCTTGACCTGCCTGCAGACAAAAGACAGATCGGTGCAAAATGTTAGCTTCCTAATTTAATTCGTTATGACTTTAGCGTGATTACAACAGACCGACAGACGGATGGACGGACAGGGATAATTCGTCTTAGAATTTTACGCTGATCAAGAATATATACTTTGTTGGGTCTAAAATTATTATTTCGATGAGTTACGAACGGAATGTCGAACAATATACCCTTCATACTATATATGGTGGAGGGTATAAAAATAATTTCCTCCCTTTAATACAATCGTTTGTTAATTATTGATCACGGCGACATCTGTTTTCAGTAAGGCCACAACACACATGTCTTGCAAAGACATATAACAAAGACCTAAAATGGTAAAGACTAGACAAAATGCATAATGGAAAAATAGTTAATGTGAAAAATATATAGAGGCGCTGCTCACAACAGTGACATGTTAGCATAAAAATTATATTTACAGAGCAATTTTAAGAATAAAATTTTCTGTTAACCAAAAATTTGAACTAAAAATCGCATTTCACTGACGTTCGAAAATTGCATTTGCTGTTAAATTCCTTTAACATTGGTGAGTATGTTGTTATGATATCGTAACAACAGAGGTATTTACACCTGGTGACAATATTTTGACTCTGTCCTGTCCCATCTTTATACTTCTATGTATTTGCATATAATATGTCTTTGTGTCTTGACTAATAATTTATTAACTGCCCAGTAGATGGTGTTCTGGGCTACTAGTGCCACCTGCATGTCACTTAGCCCGATTACAGAGTTCGATTCAGTGTTGTATTTCATCATGTAGTCTATCAAAACAAACTAAAAAAAACTGTTGTATTGTTTCCTATTTTTTGAAAACTAAGAATGCAATTAATTATGAAATTTTTGTATACAAAGCTTGCACATTATTTGTATGAGATCGTCCTTAAAATCAATCAATTAAATTTAATTATTATCCATCTTATAATCTCTAAACGTGTTTTATTTCAAAAATACACCCTGTATCAGGTAAAATCGGCTGTTTACACTTTACTGGAATCTCCTCTCTTGGCGTCTGTTAAAAATATAAACAAATGTTAATAACATGTTAATAACAATGTTAATAACATCAAACGGACAGTGACATTGAAGAGCCCCACACTTTTTCACTCACGATTATGTTTCGCTTGGGGACGGACTCATTATGGAATCAACAAATATTTGTGGCGTTCTCTCAGTCTTGATTTTGACGCGCTCTCGGTAACAACAATCGCAAACTGTGGTCGGACGGTCTGGTTCGTTCGCGCGTTGGATACCAATTTTCTGCAAATTGATTCAGATGCTGGCTGGCTGGTTGGCAATGGCCAACAGATTTTAGAATTTATTATTTTTTTTCTTTTTTGTTTACCAAACAAACGAGAGTGAAAATATCCCATTAACAAAAATATATTAAAAGAAAAAATATATCTACACCTACCTACATTTTATGCGTCCGAAAATACTTGCGTGACCGTGCTTTCGCGTGTGTTCACAGTTAGTAGTATTGCCGAACGAATATATTTTTGCAAGTTCATTATATTTTGTGAAATAAAAAAAAAGAAGAATACATTAATATACACATGGATATGTAGGCAGGTGCCTATATCGAAAGAAAAAATTAATTATTCCAGTGAAATTGTGCGCTCCCTCGGGCATTTGTTCAGTTTTCTGTGGTCTTCTTGCAGCCAATTAACGAAAAATTACGAAATCAGTTACAGTGATTTGATTTTGGTATTTTCAAGTTTATTATGCTGCCGTTTACAACTGACATCTGAACCCCAGTCAAAGTACAAACAGAGAAAATCAGCAGAGCGACGACTCACTCCTCAACAGTTTGTCTGTCAAGGCAGACCAGAAATAAGAAAAGCAGCAGCTGTTAAATTGATTTGATGCATTCCGCAAAATAAGTTGTAAGTGTAGCAAAAAACAAAAAACAATTGTTAACGTAATTTTTCATTCAGTCAAACATACATATGTACAAGGGAGAACGTGCATACGTCTGTATGTATGTGCACACATATGTAGCTACGTAACTACAATGGAGCTGCTCATGCCTCTGTTGTATATACACAAGATGAATAGAGAATAATCGCGTAATGTAACCCCATACCCCCATGCCGTTTATCTAATCACTGCAGATGGAGATTCTCTCCGAAACTTAACCCCACTATCGCTCTCCCTCTCTTAGTCTGTTAGTCGTTTTTGTTTTCTTCTTCAAATTAACAGAATTGAGTGTGCGAGCAGGTGTTGTTGCGATTATGAACTATTGTTTGCAAGTACTATGTGAATAAAGGTTTTCAGCCTCTCTCACACTCTCTTTTAAATGCAATGATATCAATTTAAATACATATTTTTATTTCGGACGGGCGTGAATTTTACAATTCTAGTTTCAATTGAGGATATTTTAATTTTACGGACCCGTTCATCATAACCCAAGTATTAATCTGCAACTATAAACGGTTTATACATTCTAAATCGATATTGTCGCCTCGGCATTGTTGAAAAATTTATAATGAAATTTAATTTGTGGTTATTAGTATCAAAATGTGTCTAGTATGAAAATTGGAATGTAAAAATGTGTAGGATCTTTAAAAGTTCCTTCTGCTTTACTACCTAGCAAAAGACGACAAAGTTAAGATCCATATAAAGAAACTTTCAAATATTGTATTTAATATACATTTCAAATCAAAATAAGCTATCATTTAGAATTCCTCATCCTGATTGTAACATCGAAATGTTCGCTGACAATTACACCTGCACATATATTTTTTTTAATCCGTTAAATCCATGGTACAATATACGACCCCTGGACATTTTGCGATCATCTCCAAAAACAATAGGCATCTATTCTGACCCTAACCCTATCACCATACCAATTTCAACAAACATGTTGGCCCAATAACACTTATAATACCCACAACACATAGTGTTGTAGATACCCTACAACTATTGCAGAAAATAATATTTTTGAGACTTATACATAGTTTTTACGTTTTCTTTAAATTGTATTGAATGAAAGCAAAACATGTCGGAAATAGCATCAAATTTTAGAATAACTTTAGATTTGTTCGAATTGGTCACCTTTGGCACGAATTATGGCCTTCAAACGCCCAAAACTGCCGCTGCCCGAATGTTGCTCTGCGGCATTTTGGCCCATTCCCGGCAATGCGCTTACTTGAGGTTTTCGAAACTTTGGTATTTTTTAGTGCCCACCTTGCTTTCCAAAATACTCCAGACAAAATTGTACAACGGATTGGTATCCGTAGTTGTTGGCATTTATTCTGATGTCACGGTCGATTAATACGAGTGGAGAGCGACCATCGGCTGTTATGGCGGCCCACATCATCACCATGGCCTGCGCTTGAGTTCTGGTGGCCAACCGAAGGTGCACATTTTCAGCTGACCTCTTTGGCAAGTAAACACGATCATTTTGTTTGTTTACAAACTGCCGGGCAACGAATGTTTTCTCATTGGAGAAAACCAAATTCGGAGGTTCACTACTTTCGGCCAAGCGAAGCAACTCTTTAGCTCTTTTGAGTCTATTTACTGTTGCGGTGTAAGTTCTTGCACTTTTTGCAATTTTCTCATTTTTCAATATTTACTGAATATAATATTGGGATATGTTCTGCTCACGAGCCATTTTTCGGCCACTGTGACGCGAGTTTCGATCAAGTCGCTTCTTTACTTTTCGAACCATTTCGGCTGGTGTTGCGGTTCTCTTCTGTCCACTTCCTTGGCGTCGGGCTACTCTACCAGATTACGGTAACGAACGGTGGTACGAGACACAACAGATTTATTCACATTTAAATGCTGTACTGCTTTAACGATAGCCACTTGTGATTTCCAGCCAAATATAAAGAAATCATACTATTGCGCTTGAACTACTACCTCTGGAAAATTCTCACCAAAATGATTTTATACGCTTGTAAACAATATAATGGAATAATTTTAACAGGTGTTGGGCGAGTGGCTTGGAAATGACAGCTGTCTGAAAATGGTTGCAGTTTTTTCATCTCTTTGATTTTAAAAATATTGAAAATGTTATGTGCTGCACTCCATATTTTATATATATACCCCAATCGAATTCTACTATCCGAATTGAAACTACATGTAGTTGTCTAACTACATGTAGTTGTCTAAAATAAGCAATTTTAATATTTAATTCATCCATATTCAGGTTATAGATATGTTGAAGGAACAAGCCATATTGTTCAACCTTGGAGTTTTGGGTTATATTGAAATTGTTTTATTATAATTTATAACTACCTGCAATGGCACCAAATTGCTGAATATATATTTAAAGAGGATGGCTTTTTGTCATATACCCAGAGCAAACGGTTTACATTTTGTGAAAATCGGTTCTGATGTGGTCATATCTTCACATAAATCTTTAGGATCCTTATATACTTTTGATATCACTGATATACAGATTCAATAGATACCAAATACAATTTTAGGAATTTCATGTAATCAACCAACCAACGCTTGCCCAGATGCATTTTTACATTAAATTCATTGGATAACTATAACATTTGGTACGGCCAAAGATACCTCCGTTTCATTAAGTTCATTTCGATTTAATATAAATATACAGTTGTCAAGGGAAGACAACAACTTATGTCTGGATGTCTTATTATTGGCTACGCCCGCCTCTCATCTTTCCTAACTGGCTTGAATTTATGTTGTTTGAGTTTTAATTGAATTTCTATACGAAGCCACATCGTTAACTTAGTCGACCAAAAAATTCCGATAAATAAAATATGATTTCAAAATTAAATTTTGAAATATTAATGAAGGTAGTCTCTCAAGCTTTATTTTTGGAGCAGCGTTTTGTATAAATGCTTTCTCAATAGTAATCCTAACAATGAGGAACGTTTTCAAGTATAGTTTATTGATTGACATCACTCCCACACCGGAGCGTGAGTTTGTTATGCCGTGTATTTTAGTCTCTCTTTCTCGCAGAATTATATCAATAAATACACATACAAATGTATGTACAGCTATGTATGTTGTATAAGCGTTTAAATATCTTAACGTTTGTTTACCACTTGCCCATAATTGGCTTTACCAATTGCCTTTTTTCTTCTTGGCGGTCTTCAAGCATTACCAGCCACGAAACGGAATCGCTGTCACTGGAGCAAGGTCAAGGTGTAAACGCATTGAATGCATACATTATCAAAGGCTAAATGATGAAGCAAAATTGTATAGTTCTTTCTTCTACATTCCGTTCAGATATTCTTCCGCATTTTGCATATCTATGTTGTCTTCTAAAAAACGAAGATGAGTGATATTGTGACAGCACAAGTGCTAAATGGCATGATATAGACAGATACATTTGTATGAGTGTGTGAAAATGTTTATAACAATTGTTGATCAATTTTTCTAAAAAAAGGGGTACATCCCAAAAACGAATATGGCCCTACAAAAAAGTAGGATATCAGCGCAAAATTTGCTCTCTCTTATTTGACGTAAACTTCAATACCTTGAAAGAATGCAGTCAACCCGTGTCACATAATCATGTCGCCCAATTAATCACAACAAGCTCGATATCTCTCGAAGGGAGTATCCGATTTGTTGCATACTTGGTACATCGTAATATTATTATCAAACTTAGATCGAGGTCGGAGTTGTGCAATAACGGTTCACACCTTCTGGTACCTCCTTCAGTGTCACATGGCGCCCAATTAGTCACAACAAGCGATCTATTTCGTCATATGGCTACAGAGGGTATATTTAATTTAATACGGCCAAAACGAAGTCGATCTAAGGGTGTCCGTCCATCTGGCTGGCTGGCTGATGCGTACGATAACTCTCGAAGGGAGTTTCCGATTTGGTCCAAACTTGGTACATCGTAATATTATTAACAAACTTACATTGAGTTCGGAGATGGGCAATATCGGTCCACTCCTGGTACCTCCTCCAGTGTCAAAAAGTCATGGCGCCCAATTAATCACAACAAGCGATTATGGGTATATTGGTGTACTTGGTCAAGGCTTACATTTTCAATTTCAAGAAATGTATATTTAGTGCGAAAATGGACAATCAAGTACCTCCCAAAAAAAAGATCAAAATTTAAAATATTTAAAACTCTTATAAAATGTGAAATAAGAATCCGGTTGTTTTTAAATTACACACAATCTAATATTTTTACCAGCACAAAATCTGGTGTAAAAAATGGGCTATATCGGTCCACATCTTCTGGTATCCACCACGCGAAGGTCCAATATGTTGAGTAACTATATTTCTAATAAAATTCGAAACATACATTCGATACTTTGTAAATTTGACACATTACAATATTTTTACTAACGCAAGATATTTTGTGAATATGGTAGATATCGGACCACTCCTTCTGGTGCCTCTACCACAATGGGTTGAAATTTGGAATAACCATTAAACACGTAAAACGCGAAATGGGCAGCCGATTACTTTCAAACTCTGTTAATCTCAATCTCAACACATGATTTGTTGTGCAGATGAACAACCGGTCAAAATTTTAAATAATTATAACCCTCATAAAACTCAATATAAGCATCCGATTTACCTCAAATTTCATATCCAAATATCTCTTCCAACATAAGATATTGTAAAAGATAAATTGATAGAAAGATATTATAGAAATCGGCTCACTACTTATAGTATCTCTCCCACAAAGGGCTACACTTTTAAAAACTTAAATATCTCATTACTTCGCATAAAAAATTGAAAATAAATTCTGCACTTCTCAATATTTCTATTTACATTAGATGAAGTAGATCACTTTGGTGTACTCTTTATAGTATTTCCAAAAATTATCAAAATTCTCATATAAAGTGGTCCACTCCTTCGGAAAATCTCTTTGAAGGTTCTGAAATTTTTCAGTGATCATAATTCAAGTAGAAATAGTGCCCCGATTTGCGTCGTCCCGATT